AGAGAGAAGGGTGGATTTCTAAAGGTAATACCAGAAATATAATGAACAGAAACCAGACCACCTATATAGAAAAAGACAAAATCAGTTCATGAAACTTAATTATGAAAAATAAAAGGACAATTAACATATATAAGGATATGAAGAGAAAACATGTTACTCTCAATGAAAATATTATTTGAGATGGTAGAAACCTATACAAATAGAACATGATACATACATACATGAAGACAGACAGAGAGCAAAGAACAAACCAGGTGGAGGGCAAAGATGACAAGACACCACATGTAAAACAAATCAACAATTTAAGAAGCATTTTATTTTGTTTAATACAAATTTTAACAGGAAGGAGAAGACCGACTAATTCCACTGTCAAAGCCTTTCCTCCCAAGCTACAGAAGCTTTGAGGAAAAGGGTTGAAGGCCAAAATAATTATTTAAAACAGAAATCACCATCAAGAACAACACATATATGCAAGCAGGAAAAGTGAGCAACAAAGTTAAAGGCTGTAAGTTACTTTAATCAATAACAATTCTTAGATGGAATATGATCAACTAAATAATGCTGGCTTATTATCAGAAAAGGTTTGTAAAAGGAAAAGGTGGCCACTAATCCACACATTCTTTAGTAATGAACTACTACTGCACAAGTACCTCCCTGTCAATTTATAGTTCAGAATTCAAGCAGTCTTTCATAGCCTGCTTCGTAATCGTCTCTTTCATTTCTCAACCATTTGAGAAATGGTTTTTCTCAAGCAGAAGACCTAAGTCTTCTGCTGATGATGATGCTGATGACCCACCACATGACAGTCAGAAGGACCATAACGAACCACTATGATTTGACAGCATCTTCTGCAGAGAACCTTTCATCATCATTGTCATACAAATGGCACACGTATTATAAAACAAAAGAATCATCAAGTTTCAGTTTTGCAGATTCAGGGAAGTTCTTGATTGATAAGACTATAATAATAATAATGTTAACGAACTCTAAAGTTTATTTCAGTAGCTGAATATGTTGTAACAGCTCTTTAAATTACATTTAGTCCTATTTACAAGCTCAAAATGGTGTAAATAAAAAGGCCACAAATTTTCCACTTACTTTCCTATCATAGGAGAAAATACAACCCATAATTCAGTGACTTTCAAAAATTTTTCACCCTGAGACCTCGTAAGACACACATTGCACATACATTGTACATAAAAATGTAACCAAAAGTTTCATCAAACAAACTTATTTTTATCACCACAGGTTCTATGATATCTCCTATTTTATTTCACTTTTTAATAGTTTGAAAAACAGTTATAGTAGCAAGAATGGTCAACAGGTTTCATCTTTAGTGCTAAATGTGATTAACAGGTAATGGCTGCCTAGAGTGCTATGCTGAGGACTGGGAGACAACATCTGAATTCAGAAGAGTATTTAACATCTGCCACGGTACTAAGAGAAGCAATGATGCTAGGATATGATACTACAATTATGTGATTAAAAGTCCTTCTTCACATTAACTCATGAACTCTTTCAGGATAGAGAATCTATTATTAATAGTTAGACACAAGAGAGGCAGTCACATATTTATTAAATGGTAGATCTATGTAATGTAGATCCTACCTACTTTTTATCAGGCAGATGATTAGAGTTAACCTTCCCACACGGGATTTACCATCTACTTGAAAATACTTATTTCTGCTGCAACTTGGAGGATAACTGGGACTTGCAGAGGTAGAAAAGGTCATTTCAGGCAGTTGGAAAAGTTAATGCAGAGGCAGCAGTAACGTGGTAGAATAAAAGAAAGAAGTCATCTTCCAAATACAGGCCAGATTCATAGTTTAGTTAAATGGATCATGTCAGAAAAATCTGAAAAATCAAAGTAACAAAGACATCCTTTGAATGTCAAAGATTTATCCAACTTTAAGCTAAATATTACTCTCTCCTGATCTACAGACTCTCCATCTATAAAACCGTTAGCATTATCTGCAACTTGATAATACTTTCAACCCTTTGTATGAAAGAAATATTAAAGTGAAAACTACAAATGCCTAAAATGTTAATTCTGCAATTAAATATAAACTTACTTTCAAATATGATATAAGTCAAGAGAGGCTAAAGTGTGTTACTGAAAATTAGGCATGTGACTTGAAATCAACTGTTCTCAAAGCGGGGAAGAGGACATGTCATTATTACCAGGAGAGCTCTGCCAAACTACACTGCCCATTCCAGTCTCCAATTCGGATATGTCCTCTTGGGAATACGGGCGGGCAGGCAGGCAGGCAGGGGGAGGGAGTGGTTAGGAATAAAAACATATCTCATATAATTTAGAAACAGCTGTTCCCCTCAAATCTACCACATTTAAGAACCACCAGGCTAAATATATGTACTCAAACTTACAGATCTGAAATTTCCTAATTACATACAAAGAAAGCACGAAGTTGAGAATTGGAGATCTGAGTGCTCACTTTGCCCCTTAGCCATCCAATCTGAAAATTACTTAACTTCTTTGTACCTCAATGGAAATACAATTATATTATTATTATATTAAAATTGGAAGTTCTGGGGCCGGCCCCATGGCGTAGCGGTTAAGTGCGCGCGCTCCACAGCTGGTGGCCTGGGTTCGGGTCCCGGGCATGCACCACTGCTCCGCTTGTCAGGCCATGCTGTGGCAGCGTCCCATATAAAGTGAAGGAAGATGGGCGTGGATGTTAGCCCAGGGCCAGTCTTCCTCAGCAAAAAGAGGAGGATTGGCAGATGTTAGCTCAGGGCTGATCATCCTCACACACACACAAAAAATTTGGAAGTTCTATATACTTCACAGAATTGCTCTAAGAATAAAATGAAATGTGAAGTATAAACGTACCTTTAAAATGTGATGAATAAGACATTATCAGCATTATTCAAACTTTAGCCTCATTTACATGTAAAAGCAGAGTAATCTGGATCAGTTCATCTTTTGACCTTGAAGCATACAAGACCAGATCAACCACCTAGAGCCAACTAGAAATGAAAAGGATTCCTTGGGCCTTGCCTAATCCATATCTTCCTACCTCCAAAGCTTGGCCAAATCAAATCTAGCTTGAGAATCAGGAAAACTGATTCCTATTAATGAATTCTTCTGAATATTCAACCTCGCCAGAGAAAGAAACAATGGACTAAGGAGATTCTTAGAAAAGTGAAATATTCAGAATTTTTAACAAAAGACTCTCACTGGACACTTTCACATTAGAATACAAAAGAAAACAGAATAATCTAAACAACATGATTAGGACTCAGAAACAAGATTGAAATTTTTAAAAATTAGGTGACAAACTAATAAAAATTTTAATAATCTCACCCCCAAAGGAAAAAAAAAATCAGTGCCAGCTGCTTACACTTCCACATCCCTCTCCAATTCCCTATAAAATGGCCTATAGTAAGCACAATGAAACTCATATGGTGCCCGGCAAACTGAGCACCAAATAAATATCTGTTGAATGAATGACTGATTCGCTTATGTCTCACATCCTTTACATTATTTTAGTGTACATATATGGATGTCAGCATGTTTATTTTCTTTTAGCCTACTGAAAATTGAAATGCAATGGTGGCTAAAAAGACAAATTCTGCAAACCCTCACTTTGTTCCATTAGCTTCTACTTTGTCATAAGGCACTCTCTACTGAATATGAGCACAAACCCTCTCAGACTCAACCATAAGCTGCTCAAATTATTTATAAACAACAATCTAATTACAATTACAACCCAGTTTCAGTAAAAAAATGAATTAATTTTGAATCCAAAATAATTTAAGACAAAAACAAAAATATGAATAAAGACATTTTTACTGCAAGAACTATAAACTCTTGTCTAATCAATAACTTTCCTATAGCTCCAACTTCCAGCCCTATCATATTTAAGGACACCAACTCAGATCATCTTCAACCCTGAAGTGAATCAACTTCCCCTATAATGACAGTGCAAGCCAACTTCCTACATCACTAATATTCTAAGACTATCAACAATTTCCTCCAGAGGAAAAGCACAAAACCCTACCAGTTCTCACTCAGCTAAAAGCAATTCCTTTCTCATAAGCCTACCACTTGGATTGGATTTTGGATACAAAACACAATGAAAATCCCAAAACACTCTCAGCAAGACAATCAACTGCATCTTTCACTTAATATGGATAACCCCTCTATGCCAAACATCATAACTGAATACTAGAGTGCATCATCCAAGATGCCAACTGTGATGACAAAATGTCTAACACCTATTTTCTCAAATCAGAGGTTCCAGTATACTCCAATGCGTTACACAAACGTAGTAGTTACATCTGACACATGGATGATATTTAACAAATGTGGTTCCCTCTTTCAAGACATTCACTTGAGAAGTGGAAATTTTGTGAACAGATTTTCTTGACTACAGTAGCCTCAACAGCAGATTTAAAAGTGGCCCACCCTTTGAAGTGGGAGGAGATATTTATATACAAACACGATGGATACTTACATTAAATACTACTTCTCCTTAGAACATTCATACCCGTTTAGAGCCCCAGCTACCATACGTTAAATAAGCAAATTCTGACCAACAACTCCATCCCTCAGCATCCCAGGAAGCTTAATCCTCTCCCTTTACAAGTTTAATTCACTTCAACAAACAATCCGGACTGACAGGTGCCTAATTTCCAGACAGCCAGGAAATTCAAGGCCCAATCTCCTTGCCCAACTTTCTTCTTGTACGCACATTTATTTGACCTTCCATCTCGCCTCCCTTATTTATTATTTCCTAAAGTCCCTTCACTCCCTCCTCACTAGCACTTACCTCTTTGGTACTCCGACCCTGCCTCGGGACTCTAACATGCCCCCATCCCACTCCACCAACCACCCGTCTGAATGTCTCTGCAAACGCTCGAATCCCTCTGCAAATGCCGCCAAGGCACCCAACAGACCCCCCTCACGCCGGACCCCACCAGCCCAACCAGCAGAAACTCAGAATTTAGCAAGAGAGAGGGCGGGCCCTCCAACCCACCAGACGAAGTCGTTGCTTTTGTCCTCGTAGGAGTTGATGAGCCCGTTGCAGAGGGGGGCGAGCAGAGGTCGCTTCCTGCTGCCGCTGCCCAGGCTGGAGCTGCTCCCTCCGACTCCGGCGCTGGGCCTGGCCGCGCAGCTGAGCCGGGACAGGCCGGCGGACACCGCCCCGCCGCC